GAATGATGATTCTCTTTCATCTACTGCTGCTTTGTTTCTGACACCATCAAGTCTGTGTTTCACTCTCATTCATGCAGCGCTTACATTTTTTTTAAGTTATTATTTTTTTGGCCTTTTTGCTTTTATTTGAGAGTGCGGTAGAGAAAGAGAGGCAGGAAAGTGGGAGAAAATAAAGGGCCATGAGCGGGATTTGAACTCATGACCTCTGCATCGGGGACTACAGCCCCTGTACCTGGGACGCCAGCTCAACCAGGTGAGCTATGGCGGCACATACGCTGACTTTGTGTAAGGTGTTAGCCCCCCCATCACCACCACCACCACCTAACATAGTTGTTCCTCCTTATGCGTCATCTCTTATTTCACTGCTGTAAGGAAGTGTGGTGTTTTATTTTTCTACCCTTTAGACAAACCTGTTCACTGTCCTCCTTAGAAATAATTCTTATCACACCGGGTAGGAGGAAGGTTGGCGAGAGGACAACACATGCCTTTATGGATGCAGGTGAGGGAGGAGAGAAGCCTTGAAGATGGAGAGCTGAGGACGGGGGAGGGGAGCACAGACAGCGCGAGGATGACTGACTGCTTTAATTCTTGTTTGCGTCTCTATTTATCTGTTACTCGCTGTACACCTGTATGGCAGCGATATGCAGAATGTAGACGGAGCGCTCTCGTAAAGCAAACTGATGAAGTGAATAAAGGTAAATAAATGCCTTATTGATTTCTGACATATTAAAACTGCATCAGCAGCAAAAAGGATGGATGGCTTCATATGGATTGTTTGTGCTCTGAGAGAGTCGTGCAACTGAACCTGAGCAACATTAGATTAATATTAAAACGAGTGTTATTATCATTGTTTTGTGTTTTCCTCGCTGTAATGTAAAATCCTGCAGCTTTTATGGAAGCAGCACAACCAGGGCTACAACGCCATTCATCATAAAACTCATGAAAGCTGAATTTCTTTGATTATATTTTGCAAAAATTGGAAAAAAAACGAGCATGTGCAGCATTTTTCCAGGTGCACACATGTTACTCAGAAAAAACAACAATAACTGTACATATCATGGATATTTTACTGCTTATATTTTAAATTCATCCATTACTAATTCTAATACTTTCCTCCCATCCGCTCTGTGAAAACACATCCTGCAGTTCAGCCGAGAAATCCCCGAGTTCTTGCCACAGGACAGTTAACGCCTCAGTAGCTCAAGCCTTCATGGTTTCCACTGAGGAGCTGAATTTCTTGTTTTTTCAGGATCTGTTATGGTTTATATTTGGCAAATTTTAAAAGGAGACGTGTAGAATAAAGTGGTTTTGAGGAAATATTAGAGTTTTAAGCTTAGATTAGGTTTAAAATTAGATTTGCCAAGAGAACTACAGATCGTCAGCTTTCCAACAGTCCTTGAACTATCCATCGATTTTGTGTCTTATTGTTTATTTGTTTAATGTCTATAAAAACTGCAGCCTAAAAATGGCACATGACTATTTTATGTAGAGCTCTGCGGTGGATTATTCTATTATACTGACGGTAACAATATCCTGATCTGATGCCCAACAAAAAGAGAATCAGATTGTCTTTTAACTGCCCACGTTTTTTTTTTTCTTGCTTCTGTGTGTTTCTAGGATGACCTTCCTAACATACGTGTTCCTCAGTGGTGCTGCTTGTTAGAGGTCAATCCAATAACAGTTGGCTCACGGGTTACGCTGCTTTACTGAGACTACCAGAGGCTGTGGAAAGGGTCCACTGGGCCAAGAAGGGCTCCCACTCAGGAAGGGATGTGAGTGATGGAGAGGCTATGGAAGGAAATAAAATAAAAAAAGAGGATGTCTTGTAACATCCTCTTTACTGTTTAGGTTCGACGCCACATCGCCTCATTCAGACGACTTCAACAATGGCTCAGAGAGGTGCCGGTTCTCCTTCTTTCCTTTTATGGTCACCGATGCCCCCGTTTAAGATGCTTCCGAGATGAATCACCTCGGCACAGTCTTTTACAGGACTCCCTCTCTTTCCCTCTAACTATCCAAGCTGGATGACTTCCTAGAATAGCCCTTCTTGACCTACATTCCTATGAATACGGTCAATAATCTTATTTGTTCCTCAACGACGGAAAGGCTGCTAAGAGCACGGAAGGATATTAAAGGCAGCAGACGTCAATTAAGCTTTAATCATTTCCTTAACGAGGGCCTTATCGCTGTCAGGACCGGTCAGTCGGTGGGTTCCAGCACCTGATCTCCCCGCGCGTGCTTCCTCTAATTGAGCCAACAGCGGCGAGGCGGTGTTGTTAGCATGATGAACTGGTGTTGTCAGAGCGCTGGTGCTGATGTATGGTGCTTTGTCCTCTTTATCCTGCTGATCTCTACGCTCTTAATTCTCACCTTTTCTTTTTGTTATACGTCCGTTTCCTTGACACGACGTTGCTCTCAGGTTTTAATAACTTCGTCTCACCTCGTCTGCACTGTAAAAGGCATTTGATCGACACTTGAGTGCAGCTAATGGAAGGATTAGCACATTTTTGTGATATTTGACATTCACAGTTCCTTCGACTTTTTCTGTCTGTGCCGCTACGAGGCTGATTTATGGTTGTGAGTGAAATATCTGAACGACCGTACGCTTGTTTAGGTCCGCCTCAGGATAAATTCTAGTCACCACATTCAGGTCAACAGTTTGTCCAATCGTTTGACATCCACGTCGAGGGCGTGCAGCTGGCGTAGCTGTGGCTCAGGTGGTAGAGCGGTCGGTCAATGATCGGAAGGTCAGCGGTTCGATTCCGCCCGGTAACCTGTGTCATGGTCGTTGTGTCCTTGGGCAAGACCCTTCAAGACCCTGGTGTGGATGGATGGATTGTTGATGTGGTGGTCGGAGGGCAGAAAGGCAGCCAGATCTCTGTCAGTCTGCCACCAGTAGCTACCACCACCGGGATCAATGTGTGAATGAATAACTGACAGGGTAAAGTGTCTAGAAAAGCGCTGTATAAATCTGATCAATTATTATTATCATTACTTTTGGATTGGTTTCTTATGGCTCTGTGAGATTTAAAAGCAGGAATATAAAGTGAAGTTCTGTGAACGTAGTCTGGGTCTGTATCACTGCAGCGTGTCCTGCAGTTCCAGCCAGCTGTCCCTGTTTTTGTCTGTATAGGTGTGAAAAGAGAATTGAGCCTAAGCAGCCCAACGCTGCAGCCTAATGCCATTAGCATGCCTGAGTGGGCAGACTAAGTGCTGAGGTATGTTAGCCAGGCTGTGCATGATGAAAAGGACAAGACAGTGCTCGGTCGGTGAAGCAGATGAGGCAACATGGCTGTTAGCAGTGTCAGAACATGACTTCCTTGCTGCTTTATTGCATCGTTTCGTATTTCTCCGGGATCTTGTAACACCGCTTCTCACACTCAGTCGGCTCTTTAACCTACGGCTCACGTCAGATCCCTCGCTCTGTCTGCCTCGCTCACTCATCTCTCTCCATGTTCTTCTTTGCCCCAGTTATGATAATTGTGGTCATGTGCTGCTGAAGTGTTTCCTTCTATTAGGTTTGGCGTTGGAGCAGGCAGCCAAGTCACAAGATCTATGACTGAACTCGGGACACTGATCAAGTTTTGTCGTCTCCTCTTTCCCCCCCCTCCTCCCTCTGACTCCTGCAGGTAGCGGCTTCGCAGCAGAAGGATGCCGCTGGTGAAGCGCACCATCGAGCCCAGGCACCTGTGCCACACGGTGCTGCCAAGGAACATCAAGAATGAGCTGGAGTGTGTGACTAACATCTCCTTGGCCAACGTCATCCGCCAGCTCAGCAGCCTCAGTCAGTAGCGTGAGAACACACGTGTGCAGATGTCGGCTGCTACTTCAGACACACACAGGACACGTACTGCACATGCACACTCCTGTATCTACATTGCTGCACATTTTTGCTCTTTGGTTTGTTTATTATTGAATGAATAGTCAGTAAACTGCTGAAAAGAAGGTAATTATGTCTCTGCAGACATGGCTGGAGGCATTCTGTTGTCCATCCCATACTTATGATTGTGATCTCTCAGTAACTCTTTGAGGGAATCTTTATAAAATTGGCACAAATATTCAGTTGGACTCTAGGACGGTGGTCACATGTCACTGTGACCAAACAAACAATGTTTTTGAGAAAACTCAAGATAAGATTTCAATCTAGCTTCTAATAGGACAAAATTCTGACATTTTATTTTCAAAGGTCAGCCTCACTGTGACGTCATCATCTCCAGCAAAAACACACTTACAACAGCTCACAAACAGAAGGAGAGTGTGACCAGATTTGAATCAGTGAAACCCACCTTGTGGTCATTGTGTAGATCGTCTGTGCTACTGGGTTGAAAATAAATGTGAAGGATCCACATTTTACTATTAGCTGACTTTAATAAAACATCTGTAGCACCTACATCTATATCAGAGAAGTCAGCCTGCACCAATACAAGCTTTTCTCCAGCTCTCCATGTCTTTAAAAACTGTGGTGGCTGAGCAAAGACCAACAGCACCTCTAGTTTCCTACGATTGTTTCTGACGAAGGATTTCAGTTCACTTTTTTAAAACAGAAGGACCTTCAGTGTATGTTGTAGAGAATCCCCAGAGTGAGCTGATTTGAAACACAAGTTAGAGCTCTGCTGAAGTGTAAATGTTCAGCGAAAGGAAAAGGACGCTTTGAGCACCTGAATAATCATCAGACTTTTGACAGCCAGCATTTCGTCTCATTATCGCTGCATGTACGATGCTGCTGTTAATAACTCAGGGATTCATATATTTATTCATTCCACAAGATCCAGTTCAACACATTGTTGGTGTTTTTCTAATTTAGTCATTTGTTGCTTTATAAGTGTTAAAGACGTTTTCCACTGATGTGTGTGTGTGTGCAGGTAAATATGCAGAGGACCTGTTCGGAGAGCTGTTCAATGAGGCCCACTCCTTCTCCTTCCGGGTCAACTCCCTGCAGGAGCGTGTGGACCGCCTCTCCATCAGCGTCACACAGCTGGACCCCAAAGAGGAGGAATGTGAGTAGCTTCCCCCACTTTGACCAGTGGTGTGTTTTCCAGGGTCCTCTGGGGTTCATGTGGCGTAGATTTCAGAGTATCCCTGAGTCTGCAGGAGTCAGCACATCTGTCCACGTGCAGCCCAGAATTTATGTCGCTACAAGGGCAGTGATGCGCATGTGTGGAATATCTCAATCTACTGCACAAGCATGAGCAGTGTCATAACACTTTCATGTTGTCTGCAACTGTCCAAATTTGCATCCACAAGGGAATATGTTCAAGACTTTAGTTTTATTCATGTGTTTGTTTCTGTACCACTGTATGAGAGCATGTCACTGGTAAACTAAAGATGGACCAAGCCTCTGTGACGTCTCCCAGACATTTCCTGTGAAGCGATTGTAAAGATGTGGCCATCACTGTCCTGGCAGTGCTTGAGGTGGAGTGTGAGTTGAGCTGAGGTGGGTCATGCAACATTCTCTGGGACATGAACTATCCTGTGGTGACACCCAACTTCCACTCAAAGCAGTCATGGCCTTCGCTGTGTAGAACTTTTAACCTTACTACGATGCAAACTGGCGCGTTGTGCACAGCTGTTGTTATTAACAGGGAAACTGACGATAGAGACCAAAACTATTTTTTGTACGAGGCCCAAACGTGTTTGTTTCTGCTTTGACGTGGGACATTTTAACATGTGGGTTGATGGGGATTAACTCGCTTTTGGAGCCAGCCTCAAGTGGCCAATTGAAGAACTGCAGTTTTTGAAACTTCCACATTGGCTTTTGCTTTTAGCTCCAGGTTTTGCCCCGTGGTGTAGGTGAGTTCCTTGTTCTTCTGTCCAGGACTTGTCTCCAAACCCCACCCCAGTTAACGAGTTGTTGAAGGGCGTTGGCCAAAGTTACAGTTTGGCTGGAAGCTCGTTTCCCTAATAAAGACATTTTCTTTGTGAGGAAGAATTTAATCTTCGGTGAGGATGTAGCTGTTGTGAGTAATAACAAAAAGGAGTGCGATAATGCGTGAAGCTGTCAGGTGAGCGCGGCTACGCCTTGAGAGGGGAGGCAGGATGACAGGACAGCGTATCTAGTGGAGAGTGCAGTGGGTGCAAAGTAAGAAGAGAGAGAATCACAGCAGTATAATACCATGCTCCAAGGCGCCGTATCGATTTCCCATGGGCCAGCGGTGTGTTTACGGCTTTGCACAATGCTACTCTAACTGCTTCCTTGTCACTGACAGAGACAGTAAAATGCTCACTCAGTTGTACTTGCTGAATACAAGCAGGGCTTTGGTACCTCCTCTCTCTTTTTTTTTTTTTTTTTACAAGGCAGTGAATTGTTTTTGCAGAATCACAATTTTAAATACAGCCGAGCAAAGGCGTGCTCAGATCCAGATTGTTCATCCTAATGTAATAAAATCTCCTCTTCTCTCATTGAACCGCTTCTCCACCGTAATTCTCTTGCCACGTTTCTTCTCCACCTCTCTCTCGACCTCACCCCGTCCACATAGAATAGCTGCGCTAATTGAATAGTTGTGAGGGATCTAATTGTGGAAACCTGGTGTGCAGGTCTCAGCTGGTAAGTGAGTCCATATTATCCTGCAGAGGTTGGAGGGCAAACACACTCACACACACAATGAGGCAGCTTTGTCTACTGTAAGGTTCACTGTCTTAGTCTGCAGAGGGAAATTAAGCTTTCAGATACACAGCTATGTATCTAGTAACCACAGAGCCAATCGTTGCAGTGCTTTGGCTACGTGTTCGCATTCAGGTGATGTAACAGCGCTTAGCTTGTGGGATTGTGATCCTGTATGTATGCATGTCCACGTCTGTGCATGTGGTCCACGGCCTCATCTGTTTTCATAAATGAGCCTGAAGTATCCCCCCTTTAGCCCAAAGTATTGGCTGGCGAGACAGTGGATAAGAATCAGCTCAGTTGCAGTTTAAGTGTGCGGAGGTGGTGGTGGTGGTGGTGGTGGTGGGGGGAGGAAGAGTCGGAGGGGTGGAGAGTAAGAAAGATGGAAGGATAGAGGGATGGGTGCATAATACAGGGCACTGCAGCAAAAGCAGTGGAGTGTAAAAGGATTGTACCGCAGAATTTTCTGGGCCAGGTTGAAATGGCCTCCTCTGCAGGTTAGCCGTTTCCCACTCGGTTCAGCTCCTCCACATTCATTTATAACCAAATCAAGTTGTCTTGTAAATGGAAGGAAGAAAAAAAAAAGCCCACACTTCCCTCTCTCCCCTATTACTCATTAAGCATTTCTGAAATCAAGTAATGTGGAAGCAGCTCAGCGTCGTGTGCTGATAGCCGACTGTGACAGGAAGAAGGACAGTCGTGGGAGGGCTTTAGCAAAGGGTTTGTTTCCCGTAAATGTCATCTCCCCTCCTCCCGTCTCCGCCCTTTTCTTACCCCCTATACGATCAAACACTGTGTGCGCTTTTAGACGTAAGCATACGCCTTGCCGCGTAATTGTCTGTGCGGCTCTGTGGTTACCATGAGAGGAGGTGTGAAGGAGAGGGGAGCGAGTGCACGCAGAGATGGGACCATAAATCAGGACTGTGGAGGATAAAGATAGGAGGCTGTGGGTTGGATCGGATGCAGGAGAGTGCGGCACACAACCGGCGTTTGACTGATGCTGTCCACAAAAAGCCCTCACGAGTTTCTCTTTCTTAGACTCTTTAGAACTCTTAATGACCAGCTGACAGATGATCTTAAACATCTGAAATGGAAGCTAATTAGTGCACAATTAGTTTCAGATTCATGGCTAAGCAGGGATCATATTTAATATCAACATTTGTGAGCTTTTTTTGTTTTTTTAGAGAGTGGTATTCCAAGTTATGCTGCAATAGTAATGAAAACATTTAATATAAAAGCTGATATTCATGAAAATATTCAGACACGTTAGATATTATTTGTAACTATAGTTCTAGTTTTTGTTGCTATTTAGAGGAAATGCAATATATACAGAACTTGTAATCGTTAGAGGGCTGCAGGTGGAGCGGTGGTTAGCACCGTCGCCTCGCAGCTAGAAGGTCGCTGGTTCGTGTCCCGGTGAGGACACCCGGGATCTTTCTGCGTGGAGTCTCCATGTTCTCCCCGTGCAGCGTGGGTTCTCTCCGGGTTCTCCGGCTTCCTCCCACAGTCCAGAAACATGCTGAGGTTCATTGGTGATTCTAAATTGTCCGTAGGTGTGAATATGAGTGTGCTTGGTTGTCTGTCTCTAAGTGTAGCCCTGTGATAGACTGGTTACCTGTCCAGGTTTCACCTTCACCCTGACTCAGCTGGGATAGACTCCAGCTCCCCGTTAAGGTGTAGAGATGATGGATGGATGGATAATTGTTTGATTTTGATATTACTGACACAACAGACCTGGCTAATGTTTAACCCTCCTGTTATCATTCAGCGTTTAACGTCTCTAAATAAGTCATTGACATCATTTTTTCAGTTTTATTTAAAGGACTATTTACACATAAACTTGGGTAACTATTTAAATTACGATATTTTCTGGAGGCTTAAGTTGCTGGGGTCAAACTGAACCCGAGGATAAAAGATGTTGGTGAACTTGAAGGTAATAGGAGGACATTTAGAGCAAACAGCTTAAAACGAATCGTTAGAGACGACGCCTGGATCATCCCGGACGTCTTCTCACTGACAGCTCCATGACGCCTGTAAGGTGAAAAGCTTGTTTGTAAATGTGACACAAAAATCAATTCGGCATGTTTCATGTGTTAGCTGAAGTATTTTTCTTGTGTTGCTCCGTCAATGTGTACATTTGACAAGCAGTGTGTTTTCTGTGTTTATCTGCCATCCCAGTACCACGAGGTGTAATAAGAAGAAGTCAGTTCCACCTCAGGACGGGCTCGATATTCTCTGAAATTAGGTGGAAAAAAAATCTATGCGCATATGTCAGCATTTGGCCAGAATGAGTTGGAAATTATTGGCATATCAGATATCGGAGTAAATCCAATATCATGCATCCTTATTGTTAATTACTGGATTTCATATTCTTCCAGCCCCACATAGAGCCATGTAGTCTAATGCAATATGAAACTGGATCACTGGAAGAATAATCTCCAACACTGCAGGCAGTGATGAGCCAGCTGTAGTGTTGGTTCCACCGCCATAAGAATGACAATGCACCAGCCCAGTCAGAAACAGTCCGATCTGATGCCCTCCAGTACAAACAACGCTGATGAAACTTTTTTTTGCTGAGGCTGTAATATCAAATGTCTTTCAGGCACCCTTGGTGAGTTGCCACCGTGACCACTGTTGCTCTTTGTCACTGCACTTTTCCTACATTGATCGCCATCTTATCGGACTCTTCTTCTCGATTTTTAACCTAAGCTCCAGCAATCAGTGCTGCGACTTCTGTAAATGGTGTTTATTGCTGAGATGAGTCTAGCCCCATATAAATAGCAGGATGCGCCAGCCTTATCAGACGTCTCACAGTCGCCGTTCAGTGGAACACGAGACAAATTAACGAGGTTGTAAAGGCCAGATAGTTTGCTCCTGAACTGCTGATGCGTCATTTGCAAACGCTGCAGAAATATATATTGTGGTGGGTGTCAAACAACACAGCAAGCATCCTGAGATGTTCAGCACTGGACAGAATAAAGTGAACAGTTTCTACACCCCAGTGGAAGCAGCACAATCATGGCTAAAAGTATAGAGAACTCCAAAAAATTATTTAAAATAAATCATTAAAAAAAGGAACATTTTAAAGGTGAAATAATTTTATTATATATTTGAAAAAATGAAAAAGAACCCGTTAACCTAAAATCAACACGTGTAACATTTTTTCCAAGTGTCACCCAATTTTATTTTTTTATTTTTTTGATCAACATTGGAATATGTTTTACTTCTTACATTATATTTTTTTCCCCACATTTGTCTCCTGTCTGTTCTGTGTAAACACAGCCTGCAGTTCAGCCCAGTTCAGCCCAGTTCAACTGACTGAGGCTCTGTAGTTGTGCTGAGGAGAGTGTGCTTTGGCAGTGGTTCATTTGTGGGACATTTTTTAAATGAAACATG